ATTACCCTCTGCATTGAAAATCATATCCTCAAGTCTGAACTTCCCAATCTCTTTGAAAAGTTTCTGCTCTGCTCTATAAATGAGCCATGTAAAAGGCAACTGACTTTGAATTATTGCTGTTCTGGACAACAGTGATTTTGCAAAACCATATAGCACTTAGTCCTAGTCCAATTTAAACATAGAAAAAGGTGCATTAGTACGTATCTACTCAGAAATTAGGAATGGGCAAATACAAAACCTGCAATTCTTCTCGAGTCAAAGGGAGCACAAGATCCAATGACACCTAACTGAACAAAGGAAAAGCAGAAGACAAAGGAGGGCTGTGTTGCAGGAAATGTTAGTTAGCATCTTATTCAATATCCTAAACTATATGCAGCTCTGAAACAATTCGGTGCAGAAATCCTACCAAAACTCCTGAATGCACCCTGACAAACACCTAAAATGACTGGGCTGATGACCAATTTCTTAACATCCAGAAATATGGACCATTTTAGTAGGCTGACAACATGTCAAGGTTATTTTCAACACAAATAATGCCAAACCAAGAAGTGGATAGTAATCGACATGGGAAATGTGTGAAATTCAAAATAATTTCAAGTAAAAACAAGTCTCGTTTATTTCCATGCAGTTCAAGGTCACTGACTAAAGCACGGCTTATATCACTTTTTGCACTCCTCTTCCACTTTGTCTAGCAATTTTAGGAGCAAAAATATAAGAAGAGCTTGGCCGATAGATCTACATCTAGATCTAAGTGAAAATGTGAATGTCACTATTCTAACAGTAAGGCCTGGCACTGCAACCAGGCTTCAGAGACAGCAGGGCTGGCTGCTACCCAAGTTACCCATGAGTTTGTTAAGCAGTTGGCCAGCAAAATGCTGGATTCTCATGTCAGGTGTGAGTCTGGCAAAAGCACTCCAAAACAAGTTTGTAGGGTGTGGGAACAAATAGGTGCACTGAATCTTACAGAAGTTTCCCTAACTGGCTGTGATGGGAAAGGGAAGAGAGCAGCTTGAAGATATTTAGATATGCCCAAATACATGCATCTGGCTTTTTTGCAATAGTAACAGACTATCAACATACTCTCACAACATCAGAAAGGACAACAGAGAGATGTATCCTAGGTAAAAGAAAGAACGTAATACATAATAATTAGAAGTTATATCTAGACTAACAACGTAAAATATTTTAAATTATATTATGTTCATTTCTGAACCCATTTTCTAGATATAAAGGGAATTTCCAGTTATAAAAAATAAAACAACACAGCGGAACTTTCATCCAAACTGGTATCTTTCTCAGGAAAATTTATTTTTATGACTCATGTGCATTATCTCAAGCTTTAAAATGTTTGTTTCTTTTCTGTTTTCTGAATTAAAAAGAAAAACCTATACAGGGGATTTTTTCCTCTCAGCTGCAGCGATACTTTGCCTTAAGATTTTAAAAGCTGCACAGTAAGAAAAAGTAAAATGAAACTGTAATTGTGTACTCTGTACTGTTTTTTGAGTTGAGAGAGTTATGCAAATGACAGAGTAGATTAATGAAGAGGAACTGAAGAAAAGTGAAACTATTTCTCAATTCCTCCTGCAAATCTAAAAGAAACATAGCGAGAAAAAGAAAGGGACCAAACCCTCAAATTCTGAGAATTCTGTATCTACAATCAAGTGAGCAAAGACTTTGATAAAGAATCATTTTCAGTTTGAGTGCTGCAGTATCGAATCAACTTAAAAATATTAATTAAACTATCTTCTATATTTTGTGACTCTAGCCTTCAAATGCAACAGAGTTGTCATTCCTTGCTGAAACACAGCCTTTGGCAAGGCTTCAGAGGATTGGTGCTGCTACAAGAATGGAAACAATGCAGCATAATTTGTCCTGAGGACACCACAGAGTATTTCATCTTTGAAGAATGAAGCTGTATATTGAAATTTGGGCAAGAAAAGTCTTGGGTTTTTTAAACACAATCTGTGTATTTCTTCATTGTCACAGGAGATTGCGGTCTCTGAGAACACCCGATATCAAATAATCTATCCAGGGTGACACTTCACAGTATCCCTGAGAACTGATTCAGTTTAGCCTTTAAAATTATCTATGTCTTGGGAAAACAAGGTTTAAAATATATTTGCTGAGAGATGTGAAAATATTTAGGCAGAGTTATCTGATCTGTGTTAGATATAAGGTTGAAAATTTCTTCAGCTTCTTCCCTTCTTTCAGTCATTCCTTGTAGACATCCTTCAACATCTCTGATAATATCTACAGTTTTCAAATACCACTTTAGATAAAAATCATACTTGTATATGTTCACTTATATTAGCTGGCAGTGGGCACTCTTAACCTCCTTTTTTTAAAAAAAAAAACAAAAAATGTGATAGTCATAGTGACGTAAAACACAATCTTATTTTCTTGGCTCACATATGGCCTAAGAAACAAGTGTATCACATATTGATTTCCTTGTTACCTCTTAAGCATCCCCTTCCTGATTTTGTAATGTTTATGTGCTGCAACAACAATTTTTGAAGACTTTAATGAATTTAGTCTCAAAACACTGTGTATGATGAGAAATCCCCAGTTTTATAGGCAGAAATTCACCTATAGAAATACAAAAGTATTTGGTCATTTCTGTTAAATAACTAAATTGGTTTCATTTTATGCAGTTTATTCAGGATTACGCACAAAGTTGTGTGGTCTCAACTCCTGGCTTAAAGCTTTCACTGCTGAACCACCTGTCCCCTTCTGAGACTCTCAAGCTATTAAGTACAAACGTACACATGAACTGATGTGATATATCATGACCAGCACTAGGTACAAGCTGTGGCTGCAGGTCATCAGTTTCTAAATGATAGTGTTACACTATTTGCTAAAAGTGATAAGTCATGAATTTAATTGCATTGTTTTATAGAAAAGATTGCAACTACATTGGGGGAACATTTTTCAATACTCCAATACCATACACTTGTTCAGGCAGGATGCCTATGAAAAATGAAGACTTACAAATCTCACTTGCAAATTAAAAGAAGGAAAGGCTTGTTCTCCATTTTGATTTCTTTTTTTTTCCCCTAGAGAAAGAGGTCCATTTACATTGATATTGAGTAATTTAATGTGTGAAGTAATACAGAAAACTGAAATGCCAGGATGATGTGTTGTAAATTCATCACTCCTTAAGCCAGCTGCTTCTTGTCAGAAAAGGAAAGTTCCTTTTAAGTGTCTTTAGAGACTGATATAAAACATGTTATATGACAAGACTGTTTGTACTGTATGTCATCAGGTATTTCTTAAAGCATAAATTATGAATGATTTTTTTTTTAATGGTAAAAAAGAATTATTTCATACAAGCAATCCAGCAAATAGTAATTCTACTTCTGATGTTTCAGGAAATGAGAAATTACTCCCCCAGTGGCACTTCCAGTAAAAGCAGAAAGATAATTTCTAACACTTCAACATGCAAATTTCCAACACTTACATTCAACAAGTACTTTGATTTGGCAGTAGCTTATTCATTTAAATCTCTTTTGAAATTAAATATTTAAAATGTTTTAAAATGTTTTCCTCTAAAATTATTTCAAATATGTTTCCTATTCATACTTGATTTTTTTTCCCCAGAAGTTTTAAAGTTTTAATTAATCAAACTGATTGGCCCTGTCCCTTTATAGGACAGCACACAAATTCTATAGTGACTTTGTCAAAAGTTTAGTCACAAAATTTTATTAAAATGTGTATTTAATGAAGTTCTTGTAGTCCTTTTCATAAATAAGTCCTTTTTCACTTTATTAGGTATTGAGTCTCTAGGAAGTTCTTTTATTTAATAATCTCCTATTTTTAATACAATATGTATTATTTTGGTTTGTATATTTTTTAGCGTTAGAATAAATAATATTTCAATAATATATTGAGTTCAAGAAGTGTTTGGAAATGCTCTTAGGCCCATGCTGTCATTCTTGGGGCTGTCTTGTGCAGGGCCAAGAGCTGGAATCAATGATACTTGTGAATCTCTTCCAACTCAGAATATTCTATTATTCTGTGGATTCTGTCATTTCTGACTCTTTTTCTGTTGTGAATTTTCATGAATTTTGTAGCTGTTCTCCTCATTTTTTCTCTCTTTGCTTCCTTATTAGTAAGTTGTTATTTAAGGACACATTCAGAATATTTTCATAAAACTAAAATTAAAAATATTTTTCCTGATATATTTGCATAATTTTGCCAAAAGACAGGCTAAAATACTGCAATTATATGTCTGTCACACAGTGTTTGATTGCCACTTCTCATGGCCAACACAGATGAAAGTAAAAACACCAAGTCTTCATTCTGTCCCTTGTAGGCTCGACTTTCTCCTGGTCATCTGCTGTTGTCCATCTTCCTTTCTGTTCCAAAAAACAGATCCTCACTCTTCACAAAATTTGTGAAAAGTCCTCACTACAAGTCTGAGATTACCTGTGCGTTTCCTACCTGTAGAAGACACTTTAGTCTTCAAGAACAACTTCAAGAACAACAATTGTTCCATGTGAGTGTATTGAAATACCGGGTGAACATGCACCCCCAAAGCAGCGTCTTCGAAGTCGGGATAAACAGCGAAGCAATGGATTAAACGCGTGTGTCACGGCGAAACGCTTCCCCGAAGACACCTGGGAATTCACATGAGACGCTCGAAGCCGTTGCCCGGGGACAACCGGGAGAGGGGAGGGCAGGAGAGCGGGGCCGCCGGGCCGGGGCTCGCTCAGGCCCGGCCTCCCTCAGGCGCGGCCGCCGCCGTCTCCCGGCAACGGCGAAACAGCAGCGGCGCGGGCGGCGCGGCGCGATCGCCCCCGGGCGGCGCGGGGGGCGCGGGGCCGAGGGCGGCTGGGCCCGGGGCAGTGAGCACCGATCACCGCCTGCAGCCCCGGGGCGGCGCGGGGGGCGCGGGGCCGAGGGCGGCTGGGCCCGGGGCAGTGAGCACCGATCACCGCCTGCGGCCCCCGGGTCGGGGCGGGCGTTGCGTTAGCGGCCGGAGCCCTCAGGCCGTGCCACACCTCCCCGGGGTCTGGCTCCTCGGCTCTTGTAAGTGAACTGAAAGCCAGGGGTCTGTAGACCTTCAAAGTAAGTTAAAGTTCTAACAGAATTGATTTTTTAAAATTTTTTTTTAAATTTTTTTTTTTTTTTTGGTGATAGCATCCTTCCAGGATACCGGAAGATATTCCAGGTACCAGAAGAGAACTTACAGAAAGGATGGAGCAAGACTGTTTACAAGGGCATGCAGTGACAAGACAAGGAGGAATGGGTTTGAATTGAAAGAGAGTAGGTTTAAACTAGATACTGGGAAAAAATTCTTTACTGTGAGGGTGGTGAGGCACTGGAACAGGTTGCCCAGGGAAGCTGTGGATGCCCATTCCTGGAGGTGTTCAAGGCCAGTTTGGATGAGGCTTTGAGAAACGTGGTCTAGCTGAAAGTGTGCCCTGCCCAGGGCAGGGGGGTTGGAACTAGATGATCTTCAAGATCACCTTCCAACCATCATTCTAAGATTCTACAATTTTTAAAGGCATACATTGAGGTTTCCTCCAACCACAACCAAAAGGCCCACTAAATACTTACTGTCTGCAAGATTTATATTAAAATTGTGATGTTTAATAACAGCTGAAGTGTATCAGGATGAACATAAATAAAATTTATACCCAGAGAGAGAATATCCTGCACCGAAGGGTTCCTCACACTATTTCATACTAGAAACTGGGAGTTTAGGAATTGGTGTCAGCAATGGGTGGATGCATTCAGCAGATAACTGTACCAGTACTTTTAGATGTGAACTGGGAAGCAAGAAACTGCAGTAAGGAAAGACCTGCCATAAGGAAATGTAGATGGTATAGGAAAAAGAATTTTATTTTAAAATCTAGATAGATAATATGGAAAAAGAAAAAAAAACCAGTTCAGGTGAGACAGGGAATTTTTGTGTGACAGTAGCATGAAAGGTATGAAATCTAAAATTCTATGGATTTGAGATGAGAATAAAAAAACCCCAGTTGGATACAGAAGTTTTCTCTGAAAGAATAGTAACAGGTTATTAGGCTATTAGGGGGAAAACCTCACCTCATTTATTAATATTTCAAAGGTTTAGGGACTTTTGTAGACAGGAATTTCAAAGCAAAATATCGATCAGCTGATAGAGAAGCACTGTCTGTAGTATAGAACTCTTTTAAAATCTTTTTGGTTGTCTGAAATTATCATCTATATGAGATAGTCATGCAAGGTAAAGACATCTGCTTTCTATTGTTTATTGACAGTGTGCAAGATCACTTTCACATTTATTGATGGAAGCAACATTCCCTTTTTTAACTTCCTTTCATTTTTGTGATTTTTGTTGCCATTTTCTGATCATCTAATATTCTTCTAACACAATGAATGTCAACTTGGGCTTATATATCCACTGCTGTCCTTACATTTGCAAATCTGCTACCTGCGTATTTGTCTTAAACTGCAACAAATGTTTTTTTTTTTTTTTTTTTTTACTGTTAACATAATAGAGCTTGGTAAATGAGCAGTTCAAATTAAACAATAGGACTACCCTTGCTGACATAACCGTCAAAATCATGAACGTGATAGTAACACATCTGAGACATTTCCAGGGTCGACAAAGAAGTATGAGTACAATTTTGTACAAGACAGGAGAGGCTTCATCTGGGATGTTCAGCAGAGGTCATCCATGTTTTCAAAAGGACTTAAAAAACGCTTCTGAGGATGATCTTTCATAAGCAAAAATTCAGAAAAGGAAACAGCCAATACATTTCTTTGAAGAGGAAATTATTAATAGAAGCGGTTTCCATATCCCTATATTCTTACCAGGTCTTGGAAAAGTAAGGGCTAAACTTAGAGTTTATCTCATTTCCTGGGGTTCTACTTATGTTGCAGTGTTCTTTACTCATAATTCATATGTGTGTGTGTGTGTTTTGTGGTTGCTGTATTTTTTTTTGGAAATTGAGTCCCTTTTACAGCCTGCAGAAACTCTTTTGTTGCCTTTGCTATGTCGTGTCACAGCCATTTTTCAGAACCTATTTATACTGTTTAAAATAACTTCATTTTCTGAAAAATGCCTCATACTCTTCAACTATACTTTAGTTAGCCAGATGGGGACATATGGCCATGTGTCTTCTTGGTCTTTTGCTTGTACATGCAGAAACTACATATTTGCAATGGTAAACTTTTTTACCAAGACAGGAAAAAACATAGGATTTCAGTATGTGCAGTGTGAGAAATCCTTTGATTAAGGTTGCAGTTTAGCATTCTTACAATAGACAGAGACTATTATATATGTAATATAAATATGTATTAAAACTATATTATTATAGATAATATTATATTATGTATATTTTATATACATTATTAATTGAAATAGAGATGAATTCTTTTTGCGTTCCATTTAGGATTTTTATTTGTTAAGAGCCTCTAATAATAAACCTCTAGTAATCTATAAAATTTTACTATAAGATATAATCATTATAATGTTTTACAATTTTTATTAAAACATTGTTCAATGAATAACATGCTGCTGGGACCTGATTTTTCTTTCTAAAGCAATCCGAACACTTCAGTCAACAGCATACTTCTTCAGAAAGTTTGCAACATTTTTTTCTTGAGCATCTTTTTATGCAGATAAGTCCTTAATCATTCTGGCTGAATTTAGATACATATTTCTGTAGTTATTTAAGTCAAAAGAGGCCTTGTGGAAAGATCTTGACTAATTAGAGGATTGGGCAATTACCAGATGTGAAATTTAACAAGGTCAGGTGTCAGGGTCAGGACAACCCTGGATGTACGCACCGAAAGGGACCTGGAGGTGCTGGTCAGTGGGAAGGTGAACATGATCCAGCAGTGCCCTGGCAGCCAGGAGGGCCAACCCTGTCCTGGGGGACGTCAGGCACAGCATCACCAGCCAGGCAAGGGAGGGGATTGTCCTGCTCTGCTCTGCACTGGGGCAGCCTCACCTCCAGTGCTGGGGGCAGTTGTGGGTGCCACAGTGTAAGAAAAATATTAAACTGTTAGAGGATGTCCAAAGGAGGGCCATGAGGATGGTGAAAGTCTGGAGAGGAAGCTGTGTGACAAGCAGCTGAGGTCACTCTTGTTCAGCCTGAAGGAGACCAAGAGGACGCCCCTCCACTCTCACCGGGAGAAATGGAGGGTCAGGCACTGATCACTTCTCTGTGGTGACCAGTGATAGGACCTGACGGAATGGCCTCAGGATGTGTCAAGGGAGATTTAGATTGAATATTAGGAAAAGTTTCTTCACTCAAGGCGTGGTTGGGCACTGGAACAGCTCCCCAGGGAAGCGGTCACAGAGCCAATCCTGACAGAGTTCAAGAAGCATTTGGACTCCCAGGCACATGGTGTGACTTTCGGGGTGGTGCTGTGCAGGGCCAGGAGTTGGACTCGATCCTGATGGGTCCCTTCCAACTCAGCATATTCTATGAGTCTACGTGGGAAATAAGGAATCACTTAGGAAAGCAGAAGAAAGGAGAATTCTTTAGGCTAACAAAGTGAAAACTGAGCGGGGATATGTTTGTTACCTTCAGATAGAGGAAGGGCATGATCAGAGGGCTGGAGCACCTGTCCTGTGCAGACAAGCTGAGAGTTGGTGGTTTTCAGCCTGGAGAAGAGAAGGCTCCAGGGAGACCTTAGAGCACTTCCAGTACCTGAAACGGGTCCACAGGAGAGCTGGACAGGAACTTTTACAAGGGCATGTAGGGATAGGGCATGGGGGAATGGCTTTAAACTATAAAAGTGTCAGTTTAGGTTAGATAGGCACTCAAAGGGTGGTGAGACTTTGGAACTAGTTGCCCAGAGAAGTTGTGGATCCATCACTGGAAATGTTCAAGGTCTGGTTGGATGGGAATTTGAGCAGCCTCATCTAGTGGAAGGTATCCTTGCCCACGGCAGCAGGGCTGGAATGAGATGATCTTTAAGGGGCTTTCCAACCAAACCATTCTAGGATTCTAAGTGTATTCTGATTCTATATATGTAAATATATGTGGAATCTATATAATATACTATAGAATATAGTAAATATATATTGTATAGTGTAAATGTTTTCATGCATGTCAGCAAAGAAAGTAATTGAAGTAACAACTTTTTTATGAGAGAGGTGGGAAAAAATAACTAAGGTTTTTAAGATAAAGTGTGATAGATGAGATTAAAATGATGCAGTGGCTGTGATGGGGAGGGGGACACGTCCACTCGTTCAGAATGTCTCTTTCCCCTGATGTCACCATGAAACTGATAGGAGGAAGGATTCATTTTAATTCATGTAGATTTTCACAGCTGGCTAAAATCGTAGGAGTGTCTTAATTTTTTACTAGTACTTCTTCCTAAGTCTTGCCTTCTGAATGGGAAGTGTCCTGCTATTATAGCTAAGATAATGGTTGTGTAACTGCTGTCTCTCATTTGGTTTAGATTAAGTCAATTTTTCTTTAGTCTGTTTCTCATGGGATGAGAGATTTCACTATGCATCTCAGACATTTAGAATCACACATGAAAACCTCCTCAGCTTGTCACAACGTGGATTCTCCAAGGATAGATCTTAGGTCTGATGTTATTTAATATGTTCATTATACTTTGGAAATTAGCAATAATATAGAAAAATAAAAATATTCTGGTGAGATTAAAATAATTTTGTTATAACTGAAGAAGACCTGTAGAAACTTCTGAGAGTTCTTCTGCAGTTTGGTGAACTGGTAACACCATGACAAATAAAATTCATTGTTGATGAAAGCAGTGTAATTTATACTGTTGGGAATACTTGGAACAATATACTCTTCAGCAGTATATCTAAATTAATTGTGATCGACTGAGAAAATGAACTGTTTACCATATGTGGATAACTTAGTGAAAATCTTTACTGAGGAAACTGGGTAAAAATAAATACCCTGAAAGTTTCAATGTCACTCGAATAAGTCAGTAGTGTCCTAGAATTGATTACAGTATTTCTTGTTAGGTACGTCATATCTGAGAAAGGTTTAACAGTCACAGAGGGACTCTGAGACAGGAAACATACATGTCTGGAAAAGCTATATGGAAAAAAATAATTAAGACAGCTTAGAAAGGAGGTAAATCAGAATGTGCAGTGGCTTAAAAGGAAGGTAAAAAAGATCAAGTCAAGGCATCTGTAAACTGAAGTTGTAATATAAGAACGAAGGGTTATTGTGTTGAATTGAATAACACATTTAAACTATTTACATATTTTTAAATATAAGGAGTAATTCCATATATTGTACACTTGAGAATTGGACCTGTGCTGTAGCATGTCTGACTAAGAATGAAGAGTAAAAGGATTAGGCGTTTATGTGGACAGTAAAAATAGCTACTATTGTTAGGAAGAACATAAAAACTTTAGGAGATCTAAACCTTGGTACTTTAGGGAAATAGAAACCCTGTAACAGATGGAAGAAATCTGACTTTTGGGATTAGTTTCATACATTTATCAGAAACATTTGTCTGTTGTTGTTCTGGAGGCTGGATACTGCTCAGCCATGTGGAAGACTTCTTATTCACAGAATCACAGAATGGGTCAGGTTGGAAGGGGCCACAGTGGTCACCTGGTCCAACCTCCCTGCTCAAGCAGGGCCATCCCAGAGCACATTGCACAGGATTGTGTCCAGATGGTTCTTGAATCTCTCCAGTGAGGGAGACTCCACACCCCCTCTGGACAATCTGTCTCAGTGCTTGATCACCTGCAGAGTAAAGAAACATTTCCTCATATTCAGGTTGAACTTCCTCATCCTTTTTTTTTTTTTAATATACACATGCACACAGATAAAACCGTGGGCAAATTCAAAGGCCTTGACTTAATTGGTCTATCATATAATGTATTATTTTCATATGGCACGTATATCTGTATCTGCAGGAACTGAATATTAAATTATACCTGCTATCTCCTTTTAACTCTCTTGTTATATGAAACCAAGTTTTTTAATAGTGTGGTAATGCTTGCACTGTCATGACACACAAAGAAAGGGGAGTCTATTGATCCATATTTCAGGAGTTGGGCAGAAAAAAGATGAAAGAATTTGGGAGAAAGGAGTTTCAAGACTATTCTACATTGTTCTCTTAATTAAGACTAAGATATCTGAGAATGATGAGGATATTTTAGCTGGTATACAGAGAACATATTGGTTTATGGAGTCAAGAAACGAGTGAGATTGTTTGCTGATGATATGATTATCTTTTGATTCCATTGGAGGGAAGCAGTACTAGAATGTCCATAAAAAATCAATTGAAATAATCAATGATAATGACTGATTTATAGGCAATTTTCACTGTTATCACAAGGAAAAATAGTTTCTCTGAGACAAAAATAAACAGCTAGACTTCAATTAAACTTGCTCAACTAAGTTGATGTTATGTAATTATCACCTGTAAGGCAAAAAGAATTGTCGTTATTTTCAGTAAGAACCTGAAAATTGTGGCTAGGTTGTAGTAACACAGATTGAGACTGTCTTAAAGCATTGGACTGTTAATTTGAAAAGTGGATCATGTCATAAACAACTGGTTAGAAGTTATTTCTAAATTCTTCTCTTTGCACTGCTTTTCCACAGGGGTAGTTGCTCTCAGCAAAGACCTTTGATTCCTTGACTAAGAGGTAAGTTCCACTGCTGGCTGTGCCTTTGACTTATTCCTATTCTTCGACTCAGCTCTCTCAGTATGTGCAGGGTCCTAGCTTGTTGCATCTGTTATTTAAGGTTTTAGAAAACAGAAGATGCAAATGAAACAGGAAGTGTTTTCTAAATGCATTGTCTGTTTTAAATCCGGGAAATATTATGTTCTTTAAGTGTATGCAACAGGACTCTTATAGTGTCAAGGAAGTATTTATAAGACTTGAGTATTTTAAACAGAAAAACAATCAGAAAACTTTCCTCATATTTCAAAGTATGATTTATAGATTTTTTTGTTAAAGCTCACTTGCTAGCCATCATCTCGTGTTTTTTTTAAAAAAAGTATAATGACTAGAAATAAGTGGGTATCTCAGATTTGAAATCTGAGAAACTATTCACACTGAGAACAGCAACTATTCATATTAAAGCATGACAGTAAAAATAAGTACAGGGATCAGAGCCATCATTATCTTATGATCTAGTACTTGGAGTCTGCTCCTCTGAGCAGGCATCTGCAGCAACTCTTTCAAAAACGAAATAAATTTTCTGTATTTTATTTGACATAGCAGAGATGCCAGCTCCTGATAAAATAGTTAAGAAGTTTGACGTTTCCACTTTGAACCAAAAAATTTGCATTTGTGACCTTCTGCAAAATAATTTTCCACTCACAGGCAGAATGTTCTGGTCATAGAGATATTACTGGAGATGTGCCTGTTCCTGCAGCCGTTGCAAAACAGACAAGGTGGCTGTGTTTTTTCGTATGCCTTGTTCTGCTAGTGTTCAGTCTGCTATGATAGTGTCTGCCAGACCTAGCCTAGCATGTGGATTCATGTGGAGAAATGCAGTAATAAACTTAGCTCACAAGTTTAGATATCAATGTAAATACATGAGCTAACAACTCAAGACTCTGGTCTTGGTCCAAGGAAAAACTAGTTATTTTTAAGGTGCTATTCCATTTTAGATACCTCCTTGAGGATGAATCTGCCTTAAGAGCTCTTGAATATGTTGACTAGATCTCCATCGATTATCAACTAGACTGATTAACTTTAGTGCTGATACTTAGTTAAGTTTAATGGGCACTCATAGATTCTGGATATAGGTTTAACTTAGGATGCTCACACTGGAGTGGTTCTGGTCCTGTGGGAAAGCTGGAGGTCCTAATGAAGTTCAGACTGAAACAGGGAAGCACCTACTGAGCTAAGGCACTAAGAATAGCCAGAGCTAAGGGAGATCTTTGGGGATTGTGGTTTTGGAATGAGGGTTTACTTAGACGTAATGACTGTCCTGCTGCTTGAGAGACAACACCTAATTGCACCACTGCACTAAAGCTGGGTTGGAGGAAAGTAAAGCAGGCTAGTTTGTCTATACTGAGACAATAAATTCCAGGTGAAGGACAGGAAGTAGCATTGAATGATAACTTCATGGATTGCTTGGCTATGTATTGGCTACATCTGTTAGGTCAAAGTACTTTATTACCTCTAGCTCTACATGATTTAAAACAATCAACCCTTTAATCTCAAAAAACATATGTAGAAAAGGCATGCTTCTATGATTCTAGAAATGTGCAGGACATGAAGTAGAGGATATTACTCAAATGAAAATATTATTTTGTCTTTAATAGAAACATAAAATCATTTAGTTTGGAAAAGACCTTTCAGATCAATAAGTCCAACTGTTAACCTAACACTGCTCAGCCCACTACTAAGCCATGCTCCTAAGCACCAAATGCCTTAAATACCTCTAGGGCTGGTGGCTCAAGCACCTCTCTGGGCAGCCTGTTCCAATGCTTGACAACCCTTTTGATGAAGAAATATTTCCTAATATCCAGTCTAAACCACCCCTGGCACAACGTGAGGCCATTTCCTCTTGCTGTATTTCTTGTTATGTGGAAGAAGAGACCAGCCTTCACCTCGGTACACCCTCTTTTCAGGCAGTTGCACAGAGCAGTAAGGTCTCTCTGAGTCTCTTCCAAGCAAAGTGTTAATCCATCCAAGCCATGAATAGCCAGTTTGTCCAGGAATTAATTAAATTACATGTAATTACTAGTGAATAATTTTCATTTTTAAAACAAGTTTTTCAGGTAAAGCCAGCATTTTATAGACACAAAAATTTTAGCTCTACTAAAATTCTTTCCCAAATTCTAAATACTTAGATTGGTAAACTGAGAATCAGAAATAGGCATACTGTAAACCTACTGAGAAAAGGACAACATGCAATTATCTTGGAGAGAAAGGGATTTGGATAGAGAAGCTCTTTTATGGGTCAGTAGCTTTTCAATACCTGTACACATTGATTGTCTGTGATAATTACAGTTCAATGCAGAAGACACACTTTTAATTATCAGTAAGCCAAAGAATTCCAGGTCCATCATTTCCTCAAGTCAGAGAATGACCACTGAATACAGAGAGCTTTATGGAAACAAAGCTTACACCAACATTTGATGGCAGAATGTATTGAAATCTAGATTAGTAACTGCAGCAAAGAAATAGACTGAGGGGCATAACCCACGATAAAGTAATTGACCTGCTCTCTCTGCTTGTTGCTACAGATCACACTGTTTTTTTAATGAAATTTTTTAAGGAACCAAATATTTCTGAACACTCAGAAATATGTAGAAGTTTCTTACAAATATGCTCAGAAGTTGGATTTATAGAGAGTGAAGAAATATTTTCCATTAAAAGCCTTAGTTATTCTTGGTCTTGAAATATATATAATTTGAATCTGAGAACATTAATTATATAATATTATGAATAATTTTACATTAATTAACTTTTAAAATTAGTTGGTTTAAACTTAATTAAACACTCAGAATTAAAATTGCCTTTTATGACTTCAGCTTAATTTATATCTGAAATGAATTGAGCTGAACTGAATGATTCTGAGTAAGCGTTCATATCTCCATACCAGGATTTAGCACGATTTAAATAACCCCAATTTCCTAAATGTTCGTCTAAATCTGATTGTTGCATGTGTACATGATTCTTACTTTCTACAGTGACTACATAAATCAGAAGGTAGTATGTCCATCACACTTGTTGAAAATTCTGTCAGTAATTTGTCCTCATGCTTTTTCTTATATAAGTTAATTTGTCTCTAGCCAAAAGTGTGCTTTCTGAAACACTAAATTTTTGTGTGTGTGGTTCATATGTGTGGGTGTACAGATGTACAAAGGTAAAGCAGATTTGACCTGAAAAATCTTTGGCTGTGTGGATCTTCCCCTTAAAACTGTAATTCGTGATGTGCCTATGAAGTTTTAAATTTCAGATCTCTTTTTAGGATGTGCTTATCAACTGCTTTCATTAGTGATGTGTTACAATTTCTTTGTAGAGATTGGTAGAGGAGCAGTACCTGGAAAATTCAAGAAGAGCTCCAAATTTTTGTTGAACACAACAAACAATAGCCTTTACTTTTGTAACCAGTCTAGCTACAGCTCATGCTGCACTAGAAAATAAACTCTTATACCAGAGGTAGGCTCTCAGTAAACTCTGGCTGAGGGTGAATGTGTGGTCTCCCTTTGAGAACTAACCGAGGAATTAACAAGGAGTACTAGTGGTGCACATTGCACTTTTATACAGTGTTAAAACAAACTTAAGTTTGGCATAACTTGGGTTATGTTCTATGCATAGCTAGTGCTAGTGGCTCATGTTGCCCTTTACTTTTGCGTGTACCTTAACTGGAAGGTTCTGTTGTAGTTTTGCAAGCCACATGAAATTAGGTCCACATGAGATATTATATCCATATGCTTCAGAAACTGTTATTAAATGCAGCTGAGAAGGTCTTCTTGGTTATATGCATGTATGCTAATACAAAAAGAAAAAGAAAACAAAAAAGTAGTAAGACAAATTGGACTTTGTGTAAATAAATGTAACTTTTTAAAGTCAATGAAATTTATACTGTGCAGAACTTTTCTTAATAACTGCAGACCTGATTTTTGTCTCCTGTGAAATATGAGCAGAGACTTCAAATTGTATTTGAACCATGTTTTCAAGGTAGAACTTATTTGTATATTCTGCAGTTGTATGGAATGTTTGCTAACATAGAATGTGTGTACAAACATGGGTAGATACCCTAAAAGGACTTTCAAGTTCATATATGATATATAGATGCAGATAAAACTAATTTACAGAAAAGAATATTCAATGTGTTTGTACCACATTACAACCTGAGCCTGTGATGTCTCAGACCTTTTTAGCTATGTATGTTGTTGACAGATGTATTTTACCAAATATGTACAAATGTTAGAAAGAGGGACTACTTTCTGTATAGAAATTGTCAAGAAATTACCATGTCGAAGAAATTTTCAGACTGATTAGGGGGGTCAAATGAATAAGAAAGTCTGTCTTACAAGCTTCCCTAAGTCACTGGTAAACTGGTTCCTAAAACACAGAAGGGAGTTTGTTTGCCTGCTTTTAATTTTTTTTGTTTGTTTGTTTGTTTTTAGAATGGGTAAAAAAGTAAAGAAGGGATCACAGGATCCACCCAAGGATGTGGTAAGTTTATAAACTGCTATGTGCTATAAAATAAACATTACGCAATTACAGGCCCAGCTCTACCGTCCTTACATAGTTCCTTATTCTGCTAGTTTACCCACATTATTCTAAAAATGGTTTTTAAAGATGACTCTGTTTCTGCTTTTCTTGGACAGCATACAAACCAGAGTGACTGGGCATGTGTAGTTCTTTGTAGAGATTGTTGTCTTTGGCAGGCATTGCAAAACAGTTATGTATGAAACAATCCAGGCTTCTTTTTATTTGAAGAACAGTGTTAGCTTTCTCTTCGTAAAAATCAAAGGAAAAAGGAGAAGAGCAACCTGAAATCTGCCTATCTTTTCAACTGTGAAGACATTCTCTTTCTTTAAGGATGAAAGAGTTAAAAGCCTGGATGGATCTGCAGCTTTTTACTGAATACAAAATTTGACAAATATTTTGAATAATACTACATACTCTGTCTCTTTTGCAAAAATATACAGTCTGAAGAGGCAGTTAAGGTTTTCTGTTGTTATTGGAAGTACAGTGAAAAGTATGAGAGTGGAAGCCAAATATAGAATAATGGTGTTAATGAGACTTCTTTAGTTCAAGGCTAAGAGTCTGACACTAGCACACTTTTCAAGAGTTTCTAAAAATTCACAAAGTAAAAGGAGGCCCCCAAAAAGGTAATTGTTCAAAATATAACTGCTTTTTAAAGTTTAATTGTTTTCTTCAGAAAGAAGTAAAGGAAATATAGAAACATTGAAAAGAGTACAGTATAAATTCTGTGTCAAATAACAGCCAAATTAATGAAAATGGGGCCTGCAACAAGTCCCACAGAGGGAGTCCTACTCCCTCAATGAGTCCCACTAAATGCAGAGCTCAGTACACTGTTTTAAGAAAAACAATGGATTTATGTGTTAAGAGTTATAATACTGCAAGAGCTTTTTCAAAGGTCACAGAAAAGTTAGTAAGCAAAAACTACATTGCAATTTCAATATTAAATAAGCATAAATAGTTGTCACTAAGACAGTAATATCCAATAGCCATGATGTCACTGAGACAAAGCAGTTGACATCAGGTTTCCCAACTGTTCTGTGGAAAAGTGAATATTACAAACGTAATTCATAACATTCAATCAATAGTAAATCCTTATGAAAGGAAATTACATAACATCTCAATATAACCTCTGTCTGTATAAAATAACCTAGAAAACCAGGAGTCACAAAGAAGGTGTATGTGGATAAGTCTAATTAAAACAGGCCTGAAGAATTAAGACTAAGTATCTTTGCAGCCTAAGGAAAGGCTTGAAAGGCACAACACATTTAAGTCATACGGATGTGCTGAAGTAATAAAAGTTGACTTCTTCAGTAAATAGCTAGAAAATCAGTAGATGCAACACCACAATTTCTATGCCCAAAAGATACAATTTGATTTTCTAGATAAAATGGAGATACAGCATACTAGATACTACAATAACCTGTGAATACATAGAAAAAGTCAGTAAAACTGTCAAAAGAAACAAATTGGAAAGAGTGAATTCCAGATGGCATCTATGGCTTTTGGCTTAGTTTTTACTCCTTTTGTTTTTACCCTTATTATTCAGGCTATCATATCTATTCTGACAGTCGTAGCAGGAGAAATGTTGCATTTCAAGGCAATATTAAACATGAAACTAGATCATTGTAACTATTAATGAAGAATATCTTACCATAGTGAGAATTTTGTTAATAATGATTATGTAAAATCAAATCTGAAAACTTTACATTTCACCTGGGTATTTCAGATGGCAGGAAATGAGATGCAGACAAAATAAAAGATGTATTAGCTATTATCTGTGATTGATAATCTGTTTATGAAAATGTCAAGTCCAAGAAAAGAAGCCTTGAGATAATGTAGATGGGCTTATAAAAGAAGGCCTTTGTGCATGTGGAATGTTCTGAGAATATATAGTACTGCAGACAACCACTAATTTTTTATAAATTTCTAGGAACAGGTGGGAAACACATCTTTTAGCCTAGTCACTGCTTGTATGTTTCAGAAAGTATTCCTAAGGACTCTGTTTTCATTCTCTTTCATAATTTGTGTTTTTCTATTCTCTGTCCTGAGAATTCGTCTTCAAGAGGAAGAACATTGCTTTGAGCCTCTATCTCTATATAAATGACCTAAGACAGTAATTCAGGCAGATAAAATATGCTGTCTTTGACATAGATTGATAGGAACTTTTCACATATCTACATTTTTTGGTCAAGACAATATTATTATTTGATCATCAGCTAGATCATGGACATTGAAAGGGGAGACCTAAGATTATCCCTATAGAAAATACTGAAGTGTTATCACTTAAAGAAAGCTATAGATACCCAAGTAGTTTTGAAAATGGCTTCATTCACAAGACTGATGTTCAAAAAAAAGTGGAATCTATGAATTGGCACTGTCAGCTCCTGAAATTGTCTCCACATAAATACCTTCTTTTGATTAATGCATAAATATTAATTTGACTTGACTTTAGTAAGGCTTTCAATACTGCCTCTTGCAACATCCTCATAGGTAAACTGGTGAAGTACAGACAAGATAAACTAACAGCATAAATGAACCAAAAGGTAGCTGAAATGACAGGCTCAGAGGGTTCTGATCAGCAGCACGAGATCCTGTTAGAGGTCAGGCACTCGTGCTGTGCTCCAGGGGTTGATCCTGGAGCAGATAGTGTTCAGCCTTTTCCTTTGTGACCTGAATGATGGGACAGAGGGCACCCCCAGCAAGTTTGCGGAAGATAAGAAATTAAGAGGAGTGATTGACAGACCAGATGGTTGTGCAGCCATTCAGGAGGACCTCAACAATTTCCTAGAGAAATAGGAAATTGGGAATTTAATTAAGTTCAATAAAGGGAAATGGCAAAGTCCTGCACCTGGAGGAAGAATATCCGGTACAGACTGGGTGATGACCAGCTGGAAAGCAGCTTTACAGGAAAGAACCTGGTGATTCTGGTGGACATGCACCAGCAATGTGAACTCAGGACAAAGAAAGCTAACAAAATCCTGGGCACTAGGCAGAGTGTTGCCAGCAACTTGAGAGAGGGGATTCTTGTCTTTTAATCAGTGTTGGTGAGTGAGACCACACCTGAAGTACTACGTCCTGTTCTGGATTCTCTGGTACAAGAGAGACAAGGCTTTATTGGAACAAAGTCTTGGAGCATTTGTCATAGGAGGAGAGACTGACAGCTGAGACTGCTCAGTCTTGAGAGAAGGCTTGGAGGGGTCTTGTCAGTGTAGAAATTGCTGATGGGAAGAAGTAAAGAAGTCAGGCCAGGCTCTTCTCAATGGTGCCCTGTGAAAAGATGAGAGGCAGTAGGCACAAATAGAAATGCAGGAGATTTCCATTAAAGCATAAGAAAAAAAATCCCTCTTTTACCATAACAGTGATGGAGCATGGCATAGGTTGTCCAAGGAGCTTGTGGAGTCTCCATCCTTAGGGATACTCAGAATCAGACAGTGCACTAGCCCTGAGCTCCAGCTCACCCTGCTCTGAACAGAGCAGTTGGACCAGATTGTCTTCGGAGATACTTTCTAATATCAACTGTTTGTGATTCAGTGGAGTATCTTGGGTTTCATTGTTAGTACAGGACATCACTCACTCACAGAACTGAAATAATTAGCATGTCCAGGTATCTACTAATTCTGTTGTTTTTCTAGGTAAAGGAAAAAGGATTAAGAATCGCAAAGATATCTGTAGTGCTTCTGAAGATTCTGTGAGAGGTGAAAGGTTAAAACTGACCTTAAATCAAATTTAAGGGATAAAAAAAAAAAAAAAGAAACCCATCATGTTTAAACAATAGAATAATAGCAGATAAATGCATTCTTCAAAAGGTGGGATTTTCATCCAAATGGGAAAACAAAAAATCTGCTTCCACTCCCAAATGAGAAGTAAAAGCACTATGTCACCCTGCATCAAAATATTTT